CTAAAAAATTATATCGATATCCCTTCCTATGATAGTACTCCACCTATAACAATTACAGAGGCAACCACTTCCACTTGAAAATGTTTGTCAAAGGCAAGTGAGGCCAATGTAACTACTTGGAACAATGCTTCCTCGAGGTTATCAAAATTGTGGTGTTCGCTTCCAAGTGAAGGTTTTGCTTTTCAAATAATAAAATAGGCTTTGCCATCATGCTAAAATTTTGAATAAATCTTCTATTGAGAATTGTCAAATTGTGAATACTTCTAATTACAGTAATGGGAGTAGGAACAGGTTAATTCTAGATGGCAATAATTTTTTTAGAATATGTTCTAATACCATTATCGTTGATAATAAAATTGAGAAAGAGAACACTCGTATTGCATATTCACATTTCTTTAAATTAAGGAAGAGCTTTTGTTTTCTTAATTTCTCAAACAACAATGTAATGTGTTGGACATGTAGGTTGAATGAGACACTATGCACCAGTATATCATCAAAATAAACCACACAATTTCCCAAGAGAAGGTTCGAGTACCTTGTTCATTAAACGCATGAAGGTGCTTGGGGCGTTACATAAATCGAAGAGGCATTCGCAGGTCTTGAACAGCATTTTCCATTTGTCTATAGATCGGATGCGAATCTGATAATATCCTTTCATTAAATCCAATTTGAAGAATATTTGAGATCCACTCAATTGATCTAAAAGGACTTCCAAATGACTCATTGGAAAGTGAAATTTGGTAGTTATCTTGTTCAAGCATAGTTGACAATACATAGTTGAAACATTTTTTTTTCTTTTTTTAGTACCATGAGAGTCGACACAACACAGGGAATTAAGCTCGGAAGAATGAACTGTTTGCTTAAAATATCTCCTACCATTTCTTGTAAAATTTGTCGCTCTTTCGAGCTTAACTTGAAATGAGGTAAGTTAGGAAACAGAGAGCAGATAATACGATAAATTTGATGTTGATGGACCTCATCGAAGGTCGTTCAGGCGGCAATTCAACATATGTTAAGTCCTTAAATTATTGGAGGAGCTGCTAAATAACATTGGGACTCTCTTTGGTGCCCTTGGTTTGTACAACCAGGAAAACCGCATACACCTTTTCAGAGTCTTTGACTAAACGCAGCATTTTTGAACTTGAAATTGCAAGAAAAGCAGAGGTAGCTAGTGCTTTACAGAAGCTGAATTTTTTTTCTCTTTAGTGCCATGAGAGTCGGCACAACACAAGGACTTGAGCTCGAAAGTATGAACCACTTGCTTAAAAGATATACCATGTCCTGTAAAATTTGTTGCTCTTTCGAGTTTAACTTGTAATGAGATAAGTTAGGCAACATAGAATTGGTAATAAGATCAATTTCATGTTGAATGGACCTCATCGGAGGTCGTCCACACGGCAATTCAACAATTGTGAAGTCTTTAAATTATTGGAAAGCTGCTAAATAACATTGGGAATCTCTTTGGTGCCTTTGATTTGTTCAACTAGGAAAATCGCATACACCCTTTCAGAGTCTTTGACTTCATGCAGCATTTTTGAACCTGAAATTGCAAGAAAAGTGGTGGTAGCTAGTTCTTTACCGGAATTGAAATTTTTTGTCTTCTAATAGAAAATGAAACTTTACACATCTCAATAACAGGAACTCCAATCCCCTTTTCAACCAACTTATTTTGTAAGATTAAGGATGTTTAGTCGATGATAATTGCAAAAATTAAACTACCTTTGAGGGGATGATATTCTCTACGTACCAAATATCAATTAATAGTTCACAAACTTTGCTTTTGATGGTACATCAAATTATGAATATTGCATGTCTTTGAGTTCCTCCATTGGATATAGGAGTTCGCAATACTTTCCCAATGATACAAGTAATGAATTCTCCTCATCGCCTAGGCCCCTCTGATCTCTTTGAGCTATGTAGGGACTTCTAAATGCTCTTCGGTGTCAAGTTCAGTATCAAGTAATTGCAACTGACGTGACTCGTTAGATTTATGCCCTGGTTGAAGGAGCCTGAAGCATTTTCCTCGACCCCAGTTTAATATAGTTCTTATCATTGCTAGTACTAGCTTTTGTTTGGGTTATATACTCGGAAACTGCAATACTTTGGACCTGAAGGAAGCTCTGCTTTGCTCTTAGAATCCCACGATTCATTTCATGATTAGTTCATGCTATACTTCTTCTGCATTGGATGTATTTGGGTAGCCTAGATGTTGCATCCCTGCCTTCTAAGCATGATTCACTCTGTGATAATGACCAAATCGCATTCATATCTATTTTTTCTTGTATTGAATCTTTCAGATCCCCTTAATAATGAGCCACCAGTTATTGCTCATTCTCTTTAAGATTTTTCAATCGCTCAATCAGTAAAATTCTTCAGCATAGATGCTCACAGATCGATCCTTTTGCATACATCTATGACATTGTAAATACAACATTTGTTCAAAATAGGTGGGAAGTGACCTCTCATCAGTTGCTTCATCCGAGTCCAATTTTTTACGCTTCATCTAACTTCTTGTTTGCGATTCTAGACTAACTGAATCCACCAAGTGCCTACTCCACTTTTCAATAGGCGCAATGTATTTTTTCACCTTTTTTTTGACAATGATGCCCATGTATTCAAAGAAGGCATCAACAGTTTGTTCCCAATCCAGATAGTCCTCTGTATGCAATTGACCATAGACGTAAGAATGTTCGTTTTGATCTTGAACTCACCCCCATGTTTAACTTGAGTGATAAGCCTGCTTTGACGCTAAGGCCAAATTTTTTTATAGACTTTAGAATTTGAATATGAAATTTTGGGGTGTAATCCTCTCAACAGTTTTCCATCTTCATCTTCAGCATTGCATTGGGGTTTACTTGCCCTATTCAATTAGGTCTTCTTGCATCTTGAGTCATCAAGATGGGATTCTCCAAGATGGACGATGTTGTCGGTATGGTTATTGAAATTGGTTTATCAACAATCCGTGAGGACCGCTGTTCTCTTTGCACTTCTCTAACAAACTGATAGAATGCAGTGTCTAATGATTCCACTTTGCGAGTAGGAGCGAACAACGACTCACAAATCCCCCTGATTGCGCTGCACACCGCCCATGGCTTGCTTACCAGAATCAGCCATGGTTGTGATGGCAAACTGATGTAGTATTGGTTAATCAGAAATTTGCAAGAGGAAGAGAACAGAAATAATTCAAGAGAAGTTGCGGAAGCAGATAGAAGAGAAAAGCGTGGAGAAGGAAAGAAGATGGGAAGAAGTAATAATTTTGTTTGCATAGGTGTATACACCACAGCTATTAGTACGAATCTCAAAACGTTTGAACGGCCCAGACGACGGCCAGACAACCAAGGCGTCCTACATCCCTCCTGTCGATCGTGTGGTCAAGAATCGACCAACACACCATGGCGAGAGATCTGAACGACAGATCACACTGACAATCTCGACTGACTGATGCGCAGGCGAGAATCCTTGATCGCGACTAATTGGTCGACCTGCCTTTACCACGGCTAATTGGTCGACCCGCCTTTACCACGGCTGATGAGATCGCCATTCAACCAGGCGCCTCAGCCGACCAACCCGTGACGTGATCATCACTCAGTTGATCGCCTCAATCAACCAAATTCGAGTAAGTCGGCTAGTCAAGTTATCGTCATATTAAAACTCAAATTGTAATACTCCTATGATGAAATCCATATGATTAAGTAAAGCATCAATTTTTAAGAGTTTTTTTCATAAGTGCTCTCTCATTTCTGTAATTGTACAGAATACGCCTCTATAAATAGAAAACAAAAACACAAACAAAGAAACTTTTGATTATCTCTACAGAAAACTCTTCACAAACAATACTCTATATCTCTCTTCCTTCAATGAATCATAAACCCTTTAAGCGTGTTCACAGAGGACAACTCAGGATTCAACAATAGCAAAATGGGAATATTTCTCAATGTCACTCTGTGGTGCCTAGTCTCAAAGTTTATATACCCAAACTAAGACACCTAAATTGAGTAGAAAAAAAAATGGAACTGACAACAGCTAATAAAACTATTGATACTCAATTGTTATTTAAATACCCATATATTAAGACTATATAGTTGAACTGAAAATAATCTGGTTACTGCTATATCGTTGAACTCTGAGCCACCACTACCTCACTATCTTCAAAAAACCACAAAAACACACATAACCTATTAAGGTCGGTACACAAATGTCTTTACCACGGCTAATTGGTCAACCCGTCTTTACCACAGCTGATGAGATCGTCATTCGACCAGGTGCCTCAGCCGACCAACCCGTGACGTGATCATCACTCAGCTGATCGCCTCAATCATCCAAATTCGAGTAAGTCGGCTAGCCAAGTTATCGTCATATTAAAACTCAAATTGTAATACTCCTATGATGAAATACATACGATTAAGTAAAGCATCAATTTTTAAGAGTTCTTTTCATAACTGCTCTCTCATTTCTGTAATTGTACAGAATACGCCTCTATAAATAGAAAACAAAAACACAAACAAAGAAACTTTTGATTATCTCTACAGAAAACTCTTCACAAACAATAATGTATTTCTCTCTTCCTTCAATGAATCCTAAACCCTCTGAGCGTGTTCACAGAGGACAACTCAGGATTCAACAATAGCAAAATGGGAATATTTCTCAATGTCACTCTGTGGTGCCTAGTCTCAGAGTTTATATACCCAAACTAAGACACCTAAATTGAGTAGAAAATAAAATGGAACTGACAACAGCTAATAAAACTATTGATACTCGATTGTTATTTAAATACTCAGATATTAAGACTATATAGCTGAACTGAAAATAATCTGGTTACTGCTATATCGCTGAACTCTGAGCCACCACTACCTCACTATCTTCAAAAGACCACAAAAACACAAATAACCTTTTAAGGCCGGTACGCCAAATAAGATCAGTTAAAAGATGACATTAAGTAGACGCATGCTTCGCAAGAAAGTTGACAAAAAAGGAAGCATCGCATCTGCAAAAGGCATTACCTGGAATTTTCCTACTCAGTTGAAGCAAGGGGGAATCACGCTCACCAGGCTCGGCAGAACGCTGGAATCGCAATGGGATATGACCGGGAAGGGTGATGAGGTCCGTTCCTGCTGGGATTTTGCTCAGGGAGGATACGCCTAAGCCATCGGAACCTTGGTTTGTGATCCTGAGCATGGGGTGAACGAAGCCACCTTCTCTACGAATCCACTGGACGAGATCCGGCGGATGGAGAACGACGCGAGAAGACGAGGCCGAACACGTCAGCGAACGCCGATGCGCCATTTCTGCCACCGAGAAGGACCCAGTTTCGATGGCGCCGCTTAGCATCTTCCAGGTCGCGAGGCTCGACATGTACCGAAAAGAAAAAGGCAGAGATGCCATGAAGGCCCGAGGATAAACCTAAAACGTCGATAATAAAATACATTTTGTTGGTTGGGGAACAAGCGTAGGAAGAGCTCAAATTTGGCAAAAAATTTTCCTCAGGTCATATGTACGTCCGCTATTCAATCGAAAGACGTCATCTCGTCTTGCAGGACTCATATCATGAAAAAAGAAAAAATTTCGCGTTAAGCCCGGCCCAACCCGACTGCTAAATGTTACGTATTAACCCGTCTTTTTGGCATATTTCCGCATATTTTTAGCGTATTATTCCCTCAGAAACTTCTATTCTGCATTATTCAGTAGAAAATAAGTTTTCAAAAAGGGTTTTTTTGTGTCAGCTAGGGTTTGGTCGTTGTATTTATGATGAAGATAGATTTCTCTCTTAATGAAGAGTTTGAGCACATGGATGACGAAATGAATGTCAACGTCTTTGAAACGGAGGTAAGATTTCTTATTTGCTTCAACCGTATTCCGTTTTCCCGAGAGTAACCCAACAGTAACCTAAGAATAACCTCTGCAAAAACCCACCAGATCTCTAAAAAAAGTGAGATTTTGTGTGAATCTTCGATTGTTGTTAGGTAGTTTCATCGTTATTTAGGGTTTAGGGTTATTTATTTTCGGGTTGATTGAAGAAATATTAATAACCCGATAATAACTCAACAATAGTCTAAGAATAATTTGCGCATAAACCCACAAGATCTCTAAAAAAAGTGAGATTTTGTGTAAATCTTCGATTGTTGTTAGGTTTTTTCATCATTATTTAGGGTTTATGGTTATTTATTTTCGGGTTGATTGAAGAAATACTCAATAACCCGAGAATAACCCAACAATAACCGAAGAATAATCTTCTCATAAACTCACCAGATCTCTAAAAAAAGTGAAATTTTTTGTGAATCTTCGATTGTCGTTAGGTTACTTCATCATTATTTTGTGTTTAGGGTTATTTATTTTTGGATTGATTGAATAAATACTCAATAACCCTAAAATAACCCAACAATAACCTAAGAATAGTCTGCGCATAAACCCACCAGATCCCTAAAAAAAGTGAGATTTTGTGTGAATCTTCGATTGTCGTTAGGTTATTTCATCATTATTCTGTGTTCAGGGTTATTTATTTTCGGGTTGATTGAAGAAATACTCAATAACCCGAGAATAACCCAGTAATAACCTAAGAATAACCTGTGGTTATGGTTAATTTATTTGACTATCTCTATTGAATACTTTAAATTTGTAGATATCTAGGGCAGAAACAGATTGCAATGATCCAATTGCTCGTACCTTTCTTAATATTGTTGTCCGTAATGAGGAAGAGGCTTACAAACATTATTGTGCTTATGCACATTTATGCAGTTTCACTGTACGCAAGGACCGCATAACTTACTGGGCTAAATCCAAGAAAATTAAGTCCAAGGATTATATTTGTGGAAAATCAGGTCATAAAAGAGAATCTCAGCTAGCCACTACTGTGAAGTGCAGAAAAGCGGATACACAGACTGGCTGTCAAGCAATGCTTCGCTATACTATTGAGCTTGATGGCAACTGGACCATAAGAAATTTGTTGAAAGTCATAATCACCCATTGGCGGAATCCGGTGACGAGCACCTTTTACGTTCCAGTTGGAAGATTAGCGAGTTAAATGCAAATTTACTAAGATCAATGACAGGTTCTGGGATTAGAGCAGCTGATGCATTCAATTTCCTTGCTATAGAGGTTGGTGGTGTTGAAAACTTGGAGTGCACTAGACAAGATGCGTACAACTTCATTCAAATGGATAAAAGAAGCAGAATTGAACAGGGCGATGCCAACTCTCTCTTACAATTATTCATGGAGCGCCAAAATGAAGATAGCATGTTTGCATGAGATTTCCAAAGTGATGATGAGGGTAGACTTACAAGCTTTTTTTGGAGTGATGGGTCTTGCAGAATAGAGTATGATTGTTTTGGAGATGTCATCCTTTTCGACACTAGCTACCGTTTGAATAAGTATAACTTATGTTGTGCTCATTTCGTTGGGATTAACCACCATCGGCAAAATGTTTTATTCAGAGTTGGTTTTTTATCTGACGAGATGATAGAATCGTTCAAGTGGTTATTCAAAACCTTCATTCGTATAATGGATGATAAACA